ACGGTCATAAAAAGAGCGGAGCCATATTGACCCAAATTTAGCGTTACATGCCGCCGTTCCCTATGTGTAACAACATTTTTCGGTGCTTTACCGCTGAAAGAGATGATGAAAAACGGAGTGCCACTTAGAAGGTTCTTTTTTTTGTTTGCATGAAGGTTGTGCTGTCTTTTTTACAAAACTAGGACAATGTTTCTCTTGTATTTATTTTCCTTCTTTCGACGGAAGCTTTCTTCCTTCTATCCACGCATTCGATTCTTACTTCATATGTTTTTTTTTTTTTCAGAGAGCTTTAGCCACGGCCTTAAAATGTTTGTCTACAGTATGTTGTTTCGAAACCCATGTTGTCCTCTCTCGAACAACTTTCGGACTGATGAGCCCGCATGTCACAGAAAGGCAATCAAAAAGTTAATCTTAATTATTTGAATGAATCGCATTGTTTTCAACGGCCAGGTCTTTATTGTGTCCAGAAACACCCAGTTAGGTAGATTTTATGAAGTTACGTACGACTACATTTTTTTGTAGGCACTTCAGTCAAGTTTGCGACGCATCGTGTATACATTGTTACACTACCCGGTCAAAAGTTGTTCGAAAAAGCTAACACTGTCCGTTACCCTACTTCATACTAGCGAATCAACGTCCAGCAAATCTGGAAAAAAGTTTATACTTTATTTTTTTAAGAAGAAGAACCAATACCTTTATTCAGTACAATACAGTGCAAGTAAAAAGTTGATAAAATACAGAAGGAGATCCCAAAGAAAAAACTGTCAGGGGGACCTCCTGTGAATTCATGTATAAAAATATAGAACAAAGATTGGCAACTAAGAAAAAAAACAGCAAGCGAATTAAACAAAATGAACGTAATGGAAATATTATTGAAACTTATGGTAGTTCAAGATATTTACGTGTAGGTGATAAAACAAGAGATAACTAATTGGAATAAATGACTATAACATAACACATACATATCACCAACTAACACCGTGTCACTTTAGAACCTATACACGTACACATAAATGCATATAACCATACTTAAACATATAAATATATATATATATATATATATATATATATATATATATATATATATATATATATATATATATATATATATATATATATATATATATATATATATATATATATATATATATATATATATATATATATATATATATATATATATATATATTCGGGTGTTCAGGTGTCGCTTGTTACTAAGAACTGTTTTAGATGCCGCCGGAAACAATGTAATTAGGGGCTTGATTTAATAATTGATGGTAGAGAGTTCCGGCAAGAAATTGCAGAAAACGAGGCTGTCATTTTGCCGTAGTTAGTGCTTGCTTTTGGAAGCAGAAGGTTACTATTTTCAGAAAACCGTGTGTTATTAGTATTGTGGAGATGTGTGAGGGGCAGTATGTCAGTGGGAATGTCACCGACTCTGCTTCTGAATAATAAAATTCCAAGTTTGAGTTGAAAGGTGGAAATGAATGGTAGAATTTCGAGAGTGCTAAAGAGGGGTGCTGCTGATGCTGTGTAGGAACTATGTGTGATAATTCGGACTGCTCTTTTCTGAAGGTGAATGAGAGATGTTAGGTGTGTGGCGTAGGTATTGGCCCAGGATGAAATGCAGTGTTGCTTTTTTTTCTTTTCTTTTTTTGTTTCCTTTCTTATTTTTTTTTTGGGGGGGGGGGGGGTGGAGGAGCCTTAAATGTTTCACCAATCAACGAATTTGACAGTTGGCGTCCCGCGTCGTCGAGGAGAAGACGAGTGATGCAGAAAATCATCATCACGTATTGTCTTCTCCGTGCGAAGTCGCAATGACGTCAGAAATCAACAGATTTTGTGACGTTAGTATGACTTCATCAGTATGACGTCACTGAGGCATCACGTGACGTAACATCACACGTTGACTTTATCACGGGACGTCGTAGCTTGTTCAAAACATGGTCCAATCACGGAAAAAATGGCAAAATTAGGTGACATGCTTGCGAAGTTCGAGGCAGTTCAAAACTGTGTTAGGTACAGCTTTTTAGAAAGGTGTCGTGGCAGCATCAGTACACCAACAGAGAAAAAAAAAAGAAGGTGAGTTTCACCTTCCAGTGGCATTAAGTGAATGCATGCATAAGGTGCCCTGTCCCTTTTTTTTTTTCGCTGGTGATCAGCCTCTCTCCATTTGCTAAATTTAAATATAAGCACGTCTCAGAATGGCCGTGTCGTCGTGTGTATGTAATCACTGTCTTTGTGTTTTCTTCTTATTTTCTAGCTCCTTGGTGTAGAGTAACAAATCATTTTATCTCTTCTGCGTATCTTCCATGACTTAGTTCTTTCTTTCTTATCTTAGTCCAGCTCCCTAAAAACTGTAGGATGTTATCTTCCGTAAGTAACAAACAAGAAATCATTGAAATGTATCGATTAGTTCCTTAAACTTTACGCACGCCCCTTCGTATATTCAAGGCTCGAGTTGATGTATACGCAATCTCACCCCCACGGGCTTGAGTTATTGTGGTGATATCAATGTCAATATTGAGGGCGCAGTAACAGAGTGCCTATGTTCAGTCACCTGAATATTCTGAATTAACCTTTTCTTAGTAAATATTTCTTCACCAGAAAGCTACAGCAGGGACTTAAGCTTTTTGCTGCTTTCGGTATTTTTTTTTTCCTTTTTCCACACGGGATCATTTCTCTAGTTATTGCTGTGTAATCACTTCGGGGTTTCTCAACCGTAACGACACTTTGCCCTTCCCTATCCATGGCCGTTGCAGCGCTCCCCCTAATGTCAAGCCGGCGTGCAAGAAGCGCACTAAACGGCCGGGTTCTCTGAATAAAGCGACACAATGAAACGACCCTGCCAGCTGTTTGGTTATCAAGCTCACCTGACGTCCCTTGCAGTGTCGCCAAAACCATCACCTTGCCCTTGCAGAGGGTGACGCCTTCTCTCGAAGGCGTCTCTCGGCAAAGGCGACCGCCCAGCCAGTGTACCGTGGCCCCGATGATTTTATGAGGCGCAGTTAGGTGTCGCTAAAAAACACACACACAGATTTCCACAACGATGGCAGCCGGCGACGTAACGCGGCCACTGTTTGCATAAATTTTCTCTCGTTTCAGATTTTACTTTCGCAACGAGTGCATATACAACGAATGTTTCTATGTTACGGCCTATCACCTTGTTTAAGGAATTTCTTAGATCGTATCGTTACAACGTCTGTTCTGAAAGAGTTTTCAGCCAGAGTTTCCAACTAAAATGGTGGAATTATGAAAAGAGACAAGAAAGTTCCTAAAATTCATTCGTGCTTTACACATTGGCCGCCAACGTGCCCTCCCACTTTGAACAAAAAAAGTATTACACGCTCCCTTTTTCGCCAACGTTTCGCAAAAATATTTAGGAAAGTGGTGGTAACAGCAATAGAACGTTCGATAAATTTCCCCATATAAGTTGTATTCTAAAGTGGTACCATCGAAAATGTTTGCCTCGCCCTTCACTTGAAGAGTGGTACAACATTCAGCATAGACCCTATTACTGAACTGTATAGGCAGCATGTTTTTTTCGAACGACCAGCATGTTTTTTTTTTTCTCTGTGTCTAAGTGCCATCAAATCAGCTTCACCAATATTACCCAATTGGTAGCCTCCCGGTTAGCTCATTTGGTAGGGCTACTAACCTGGAAGGCGTCGGTTTCGGGTTCGATCCCGGGAGCAAGACGAATTTTTCGTCAACTAGGATCACGATGTTCCTCAACTGATAAGCGCCACTTTTCTCCTGAATCTGCTGTGATCTTTCAGAGGTAAAATTGAATTCAATCGAACTAGAACTCTACCTTCTGAAAAATCTATGTGCCTTTCATTGGGGCTTTGTCCTACAAATAGGGGGAGGTCAGTTTCCTCTTTCATATTATTATTCATTACTTTTGTAGACCGAAACAAAAGCTAGTGAAGCGAACAGTTCAAACTCAAGCCTACAAAATAAAAAAGAAGAAAGAGGAGCGCGAAATAATTTCTTAGCTATGTTGGTGAGAACGCCCAGCCAGAAGGCAACCGCAAAAACCGCGCCCCTAAAGTCACGAGTGCACGTTCTGGTTCGTACAACTGACGTCCAGCTGGCACTGCCGCAGCGGCATTCAGTTCGCGCTTCAATGCGTCAAAGAAAACACCATGACCTATTTCCTGCTGTCTTTTGACCTGTCTTACACTACATCAGCGGCGTAGGAATGTGGAATCTTCGTAACGAAAGGGGAAGTCCTGAGTTGAAGGGGACAAGGAAAATACAATTGAATACGGGGCGCGCAGCGTAAGGCATTGATGTCTGCGACACCAAGCCAACGAAGTGGCGTCTACCAAGAGTGCGCGCGTTTCTCCACGTTAGCGAGAATGGCCTTACAAACATCTCGGCAACGCCACTTTTCGGCATCCCTTCATAACAGCAACTTAACAAAAAAAAATTGTCGGTCGCTTAGCTCGGCCAGCGCCAGGATATACGTAGCATGAGTTTGGCATTAACGTGCTGGCATTGGAGTTTGTTATCAGCGAATCTGCTCCGAGGAACGTCGTTATCGAAAATGTTTTGAGCGACTACAGAAGTTACTAAGCGCTGCAGCTTAGTACACAGAGGTATTCTTGCACTCCACCATCGTGTACAGCGACTCGATCGTAACGGCCAGCAATCGAGCACATAAGTTAGAGCAGACAGCACAAACGCATAACCACTGCGCCACCGCAGGAAGCCAACTTGGATGTGACGCGTTTACTGTGCGACCCACTGAAATTTTCCGCAGCAGAGTTTCTCAAACCCTAACCATTTTCAACGCAAGTTCACTTGCATCACATTACAACCTTAAACGAATATGCAACAAATATATTTCAGAAGCATTTTAATCCTAGTTGTTTACTGCTACGGTGCTATAGTCATGCGTGCTTCTTGCTTTATGATCAGGAGAGTGATTGCTGTTCTGCCACTTTCCTTGTACCCGATCCCATACTTTCAAAGAAACCATTAAAGGGATGCACCTGCGAAGGTTGGGAAGCTAGTCTCTCGTCAGCCGCGCAGCAGCTGTCGTGTCTGTTGAGTGAAGAGTCCACCGCCTCCAATGGAAGATGCACGTGGCCGTGCTGATCCACGAACCCATATGACATCGTCGTCACGTGACAGCATTTCCTGCGCACCCAGAAGATGAACCGTTGTGATCGCCTGAATAGAATTTGATTGATTGATATGTGGGGTTTAACGTCCCAAAACCACTATATGATTATGAAAGACGCCGTGAATAGAATTTCTGGCGCTAAATCTTTTCACCCAATTGATGACACAAAGCATGCGCACTGATAATGGGATAATGTGGCGTGGCTCCAGAACACATGTCAGGGATCTGGCTCAAGTCTTTTGCGAGCAACTACTAGGAGGCTCACACATCTCTGCTGAAGTGAGAACGAATAGTCCTCAGAAAGTTGACTCTGTTTACAGAAGCAAATAAGAATAATAATGTTATTATGTGAAATTTAACGGCGTTTCAAAACCGCTGTATGATTATGTGGCACTCCGTAATGTAAGGCTCCGATAATTGGTCATCTGGTGTTCCGCACTGTGCACGGACCTCTGTCATTTCACTTTCTCTAAAATGTGACCACCACGGCCGGTATCGAACCTCCGACCTTCAGCTCAGCAGCCGAGCACCTATACCACCACGGCAGACAGGCGCACAAGAAGCAAGGTTATAGAAAGCAAAATGGGCAAGGCGGGGATGTTAACCGGAAACATGTTCACTTTGCTTGCCTGCTACGATAGGAGAATGGACAGATGAAAGAAAAATAAAGGGGAGGGTTGGAGGAGTATACAGGAGCAATAAATGCGATGGTGCGTATGCATCTGTTGCAATGCAGTCAAATGCATTCATACGGCTAGGCCCGTAGTCCTAAAAAGTGCGAAAGTGCTTTAATTGTGTTTAAGTTGGTAGTTTCGGAGAGCACTTGGTTGACCATACTCCCTGTGCGTGGCGTTGCAAGTGCAATACAGCATTTAATGTTTAAATTCACGTTCCACTCGAAACCAGTCACGCGTGCTCAAACATCATTTTGTTGTCTTCACTTAAGTTGTGAGGAGTGTCGAGGATGGTCAGCGGGAGCAGCAGCACCGTCAGCACGTGGCAAATATATACCCACCCAGAGGGGACTGCAGGAGGCGGCCCGCTCAGCTGCCGGGACCTTCCGGCCCAACAAGCCATGGTCCGGCGTGCCAGGACAGTAGCCACGACAATGGAGTCCCTGACTACGGACTCCACTCTGTACTATAAGGAAGCTGACCCACTAGAGGCTCGCTTTCCTTGCAACCTCTCTATTTTAATGAATGTTCATCATAACCACCACCCACCCACCCTTCCCCCGCGCACGTGTACGGATGACGACACCTGTCCAATGGATGCTTCTGCAGTAGAACTGATACCATATGTTGTGCGCTGCATGGTAAAGGAGGCTTTTCTGTCTGCGTCCGTTACTTTCGCAAGGTACACCGAAATGATCTACTCGGTCTAGTACGAGACGATGCGTTCAAGGGATGCTGTACTTGTTACACCACACCTATGCAACGCAACTTCTTTTTGCAATTGCTAAGCGAGCCACGAAGAAATGTGCCATAACATATAGACGACAGTTTAAAATCGTTGCGCAATACACTCATACTCTTGTACGCTCGTGCACGCTCTTGTACGCTCTTGGCTCTTACTTCCCATTTTCACCCTTATTGGTGCATCGTCTAGTGTCTTGTATTTAAAAAAAATAAAAATTTGGTTGAACAAGAAGCCGTAAAGGGCATCATTTATATGTACACGGCAACGTCTCCTGACACAAATTTCAAGAAAAAGAAGACCAACGATTCTCTCCACGTGGCCGGTGGTACCTTTTTGCTGTCGCATTTTCGCTGCCACACTGTTGCAGGCAACTTCTGCACGGCACAAAAGTAAGCACCCTATGTGATCGATAACCGGAGCAAAAATTGTTATATGTCAGGCGCGATACAACCTATCATTTTCGGTCCGTTCGTGGTTTCTCTGATGAATGGTTGCAGATCGATGGAGAAAAAATACAGCGTTCTCATAAAATGGTTTCCAAGTACAGACAAGAAATGCAGTCTCGAGGTTGAGAACTGTTTCGGCGCTGTGGTAAAGGCATTGGAAAACGAGGATTTTTTTTATTGGTGTCCATGATTAATGAGAAAGCCTTCTGACAGTTGAATTACAGCAGTTCTCTTCTCATTCAGAAGATCAGCGAATTGAATAACACAGCTCGACGCTCCCGTGTCTCGCTTTTCATTCTTCTTGCGTTTCATTTTAAGGATTCCAGTATCATCTTATGTCTTAGACTTAACGAAAAAAAACCGCTTTGTTTAGTAACGGTCTCTCTGCTAGTCTTTCACGCGTAAAAAAAATTAAGCTAAATACACGGAATATTCGCATTTCAGTACAAGCAGTTTCAAGCGTGGACTAACTTGGGCGTACCACGTCGTTCTAATGTCGATGCATAGAGCGCCGCGCGCACTGTCAATCGTGTAAGGGAAACGGCGACGTTCTCTTCGCTAATGGAGGCAGTCATCCGGTGAATTCATGTTTACGCTGACAGAAAAATTGCCACGTTGCACGCTTCAATGACAAGCAAAGGAAACTGGTGACAGCCGTCGCAGTACTGAGTGTGTTTCTTGTTCAACATTAGTCTGCCGCTCGAACCGGATGGTTCCGCTTTATAATACACAAGGGCTTTTTCATCGAATCCTTGATACGGCTAGCTCAAGGACAGCCATCTCCAAGGTTGTCTGCAAGCTCAACAGACAGTAATGCCAAGGAATGTACAGGGGAAGTTATTAGTACCAATGGAATGTAAATAAGAAGAAAGAAAAGTGGATGAAAAAATAACCAGCCGTGAGCAGGAATCGAACCTACGACCTTCGAATAACGCGTTCGATGCTCTAACCACTGAGCTACCACAGCGGCCTTCCCTCCATCCACTTTTTTGGGATTATATGTGAATTTAGAAGTAGGAGTGACAGTCAGCGCCATCTATAAGCCAAACGACGAGTGTGAAAACACCCTTTTATGCGCATGTTTGGTGTCTCCATAACTAATATACGCACAGTTTAGGCCTACACGGCTGTGCAGGGCTATATATATATATATATATATATATATATAAGGGAAAGAAGTGTACACCTAAGGGCCCGTGTTTTTCTGTGTTTTCACACAATATTTATGAGACCTAACAGACAGTAATGCCAAGGACTGTATAGGGGAAGTTATTAGAGCAAATGTAACTTAAATAAGAAGAGAGAAAAGTGGGTGAAAAAATATTATCCTGCCGTGAGCAGGAATCGAACCTACGACCTTCGAATAACATGTTCGATGCTCTGACAACTGAGCTATCACGGCGGCCACGGGACCTTCCCATCCCTAAGTACACCGGAGCAGCGGACGATGGACCTGTACAGGACTGGTTCGACCTGTTCGAGCTCCACGCAACCGCTGCATCATGGTCGGAACGGGAGATGGTCATCAACTTTACTGACTACATCTCAGGTGAGGCATTCAAATTTTACCTCACCCACATCTTCGAGAACGATGAGCCTTGGAAAGAGATCAAAGAAGAAATGATCATTCGTTTCAAAGAATACGATGAAGACCTGTTCATACCTCATCAGCGGAAGGCTTTTCAACTGACCCATCACAGTTACGCGAAGTCTTCCCGCAGTAAGCCTATTTTCCAAACGAGACCTCAGAGAAAATATACCACCATTGTACCATCATATGACTCTTCCGAAAAAACGTCACGCATTCGAACACCGACTGGTAACTTGCACGTCGCAACAGACAAGGTAAAGCCTCCGTATACCGAAAGGAATTTAGACCATTTCGGCAAAAGAATAAACCTAAAGCCGGCTTTCCCAAGAACAATAAAATCGGCATTTTCAACGTGTTCACTGCACCACAACAATTCACATTTTACTGAACCACCCGAATCCCTTGATGCATCGTGTCACACACAAGGCCCAGACGGTTTCGAGCGTGCGACGGAATTCACGCGTGACGAGCTAGTGAATCCTCACAATACCAGCCCCTACCCTGACGTTCCGGACCAGGGTCGTTCGACAGACATTGTCAGCCTAACTACGCTGCAAAAAGAAAAACATACGCCATCAGAACCACCTGAAGCCATGTCTGTTGTGCTCTCATCGTCAAGTGATAACACACATGTGAGTCAAAGCACTGCAGGAATTTCGAATCCACCAACGCCGGCGCATTGTCAACTGACAGAAGCATTCACAATCAAGGATGACTCACAGCCATCTTGGGAGCTTTCTCATCAGCCTGTCACGCTGCTTTCATCGCAAGACAATCCTAGCAGTACAGTGTCGACTACCGACAATATACTGATCACATCACCATCTAAAGAAAAGCAGACTCATGTTCCTGAAAGAGACCCATCTAACGAACTTTCACAACAAGATGAGCAATTTCAACAAAGGCAACTCCACGAACTCCAAGAACTGCAACGGCTACTCGAACAAGAGCAATGATCAAGTGAAAACTCCTCACGAGTACACTTGTGGCTGAAAGGTCATCAGAGACAACATCAATTAAAGAAGCAAAGACGAAGTCGATGCCTAAGCCATCTTCGCAGAAAGCAACGTCGACAAAATTTTCTGCACCAGTTCTCAAAGCCATGTCTGCGATCCAACAAAGTGAGAGAACGCCACAGAAAGTTACTAAAGAGACATGAAGCTACTACGTATACAACGGAGAAAATAAGACATCGTCCCATCATCCTCGGTTCTCATGCGCGCCGACTAGAAGCAAAGCATCTATTGCCACGACGACGCTGGATCCGATGCCAAAGACATCCGTCAAATCAATGCTACACAGATTTCAAGCCTTGTTCGTTCTTCACAAGACCTCAAGTCATGTCATCATCAGAGCAGATGTGCAGGGCGAGGTTATGCTATCCTGGGCGCAACACCCAGCCTCGTCCACCAGAGCTACCCTAGATTTGACCGGACAGCTTCCCTCTGCTGTGAATGCGAAGCTTTTGTGCAAGATAAGAAACTGCCTTATGAAATCGAACTACCGTGCATTTTGACATTCTTCACATTATGCTTTTTGTTCTTTTGTTGATTGTAAC